AAAAAACTAGAAATTAAGATCTTAGAATAATTTCAAAAATCAATTTAATTTTTCAATTTATTTATTCATATCATATTTTCATTTAATTCTTTAAAATTCTATAAGAATAAAATATAAGAATCGAAATATATATATCTAATTAATATATCATTTAAAATTAAGATTATGAGATAATATAAATTTTCATTAATTATTAATGTATATAATTATTTTAAATATAAATAAAATATTTTCTTTTTATTTATTTATTATAAAAATCAAGAAATTATGAATATATTCAAGAATTGAGAAAAGAATTAATTTTCAGAGATATTAAATTCTATAATTCTTTTTAAATTCAATTATATATGAAATTAATTTATTTATCTAGAAGAAAATATAATTAAAATTTCTTCCTTATAAATTCTCTAAGAATTCACAGAAGATTTTATATCTTCCTAATCTTATTTATCTAGATCAATTTATTTCAATCCTAAAGACCAAGAATCCCTTCCGTATAATCGGTCCGTACCTCGAAGCGTTAGCGTATTCCTGAGTCTTTTCATATCGTGCCTTCCGCGGAACTTTTCGTGAATAAACCCTCTCGCAAGAGCATCAACCCTTCTTAACGTATTACGTCTCTTTTCAGCAAATGCGGGCGCCATATATAGCGCCATGTGGTATGAAACCACCAACAGCTAGGTTCATAGCTGTGTTCCTTACCGGATTTAAGGTTTTGGGGATAGGCAAGTTCGGATTCTTTCTACTGATATATCCCGTATTGCCCTGGCTAGCCTCACATAAATAGAACAACGATTATATGAAAGTCAGTCCTCTCACTACTATAGATCAATGCATACTCTATCATATTCTATTGCTATACCACGCTTAATGACGACATAGCTCTTGGAGAGATTGCGGGCGTACAGATATATTACGGACGCTACTTTATTTCGAAACATAAAAAATTGACCATCGAAGCCGCAACCCAGTATTCGTGTGCCGAATCAGGACTTCTACTTGGTTGCTGGGCGTACCTCGGCATTCCAAGCCGACCTGAACTCCGGAAGAGTTTATCATGAGCTAGGCTGGTTCAAGCAATATTGCATGTTGAGCTACAGGTACGTATTCCCAAGAAAACTAGTTAATTCGTTCTTTCATATTCAATTCGTTTATGCAATTATTTCTTTTCATAATTTCAATCGATGGCGAACCAGTGGCCTTAACATTTTCAATTCGTCTTCGCCCAACCAGACCTCAGGCTGCAGGGACAGAATTATCCAAGAGCACAGAAGAACCTCCGGCTACAAATAAGAAACCTGGAGGCTACGGGCCGCACGTCTAATTCTAATGATTGCAGACTTCCTGACTGACATAAACCCTAAACCCTAAACCCCTAAACCCTAAACCCTTGTACACTTTTAGCCTTGTTCACGTCAGCATGTTCCGGTTAAGGTGGCCCTGACCGTTGCCTGTACTGCTTTACGGGTCGCACCGTCTGTAGCGCGACGAAAAGAGGGGTGAGAAAAAGCAGCACAGTCTGACTTTGTTCCTCCCTTCTTCTTTCATCGTCTGTTTGTGTTGCGCGTTTCAGAACACGAACATCGCGGCTGCACAAGTAAGAAAGGCACGTAACAGCAGGCACGCAGTGGATGCAGCGGCAGCTGCCAGGTTTGGATAATTCGAGGCGAGCTGACTTCTGAAACGCCACGCTCGTCTTGCAACATGTTGCACACTGCACGCCTTCTTCTTCTTCCCAGATCCTCGCGCACGTAGACGCATCGACTTCCCAGTTGTGCAGGTGCACCACGCCGCTCGGGGCCCAGAACATGCCCAGAACGACACTTGTCATGGAATCTCCCTCAGAGCATCAAAGCCCATCACATCCCATCACCTTCGTCGAAAACAGGGTTCACGCTCTTCAGTTGTAACTTTTTGAGTCGCACCTGGTTGGCCTGCTGATGAGCAGCAAAAGTCTCCATGGCGCTGCAGTTTGTGGGGCCAGGCCGCGTGGGTAATCCGATGCTTTTGAGCAGAAGAGCCGCATGGATGTGGGAGGCCATGCCATCGGGAATGATAGCCTTCAAATATTCCTCATGTGGAATAACATCTTCAGCTGTCTGTACCAGCACCGGCCACAAACGATGTGTGGCATCCAGGAAGATCATGGGCGCACCAACCGGAAGGTGTTGGAAGATCTGTGGGAAGGCTCCTTGCAGCCTATTCTGGCTGAGGATTGCCGCTTCGTTCTCATGCAAGACATAGGATGCGATCACAATGTCAGCCTTGCAGACTGTATCGATGATCTCCCAGCAGTCCGAAGACCGGAGATCCACTGGAGCGATGAGCTTCACAAACTCGGCCTCTTGACGAGGCCAAATCTCGGTTGACACTTCCGCCACTGCAGCAACTGCTGAGCTCCAGGCAGGGGCCAGATCTAAGACCGTGCAACGGATGCCGCAAAGCAAGTCATCACAGCGATCAAAACCCTCCGAGTTGACAGCTGGCTCCTGAGACATGGCTTCAGCCAGCGACTCCAGTGTCGCAAGGAGTGCGACCACATCAAAAGCGGGTCCACCGCCCAGGCTGGCAATGCGAAGCTGTCGACATTCCTGGGTCGCTGCGGAACATTTTCGCAGCAAGCAGTGCAAGATTTCACCGGAGTCCTCCGCGAGGAGGACTTCGAAGACCGCGCGGCTTCTCGCACGCAACCTCTTCAGCGTGTACGCACCAAGGGCTCCCTCATCCTCGAAAGATACGGTCTTGCCATCAACAAGGGCACCAGTCAGCTTTTGACTCAGTTCGTCGTGCGCCCGCTTGCATGCAACGTGCGCAAGGCGGTCGTCAAGCGCTTCCTGAAACTGATCCAGCAAAGACTTAAAGCGAGTCCTGGCGTGCTGCATGAAGCGCTTCCGACACCGTCGGCTGGGGTACTCAAGGGCCGAAACCATAGATGCGAGACAGGTTGAGCCGCGCTGGCATTTGCTGGGCGACTCTCGTTACTGCAGCGCAAAACTGTGAGCCACGTACACTGGCTGGGGAGGTGATTCAGCATGCATGCTCCTTGTATCTTCTGTGAGAGCCACATTGCCAGAAGCAGGCAACGCGAATTCAGACTCGAACCTCCCTCAACTACCACGTCCCGTCGGCCCAAAGGATTCCCAATCATGACATTGCTTGGGTGCTTGATACTGCTGGAGAGTGGTGAGTTTCCAGGTTCAGGCTAAGGTCTCGTCAACGATGTGGAGCGATGTCGGAATTCTTCGGGGGATTATGGCTATGGCCGGCTCGCTTGGTTCTGGGGCACGGATCCCGCAAAATATCTTTTCCGCATGAGCCCCGCGGGTCAGATGACAACCTCTTCAGGCAGCTCGAGGCCATGCTGGGCCATGAGTTCCCTGAGGCGCAGCGCATCTTCGCCAGGGATTGCAGGTGGCTCGTGCATTGGATCTTCCAGTTCACCATCCCTGGCCACAGCACGCCGCCAGAGAGCCTGCACTGCGTTGGCCATCGCCCCCAGAGGAGTCTCCGGGTTCAAGATGCTCCAGTCATGATCTCCACGCTTACGCAAAAAGGACAAAAGCATCTGCTCTGCGATGGCAGCCCCGGACATCTCAAAGTCGCTCTCTTGTCCAAGTCCTGCCGCTGTCAAGGCTTCTTGGCACTCACTTGCCAAGACCTCCCATATACCTTCTGGCACTTTTCCCAGGGGTCGAATCAAATCAGCATTTGACAAGAGTATGCACCACGCAGCCAGTTCGGGCGCGCTGGGCTGTCCCTGTCCTTGTCCACTGCGATGAAAGACGCTCTCAGACTTCAGCTTCGCAGGAAACCCATCCAATATGCTTTTGAACAGCCGCGAAGCCTCCGGCAGAATTTTTTCGGCATTGACCTGAGCCATTATTACCGGCATCAAAGAACAGTAGCCATGAAGCACCTGGCGCGCTTCATGCACCCGCAAACGGAACAGGTCAGGACGGACGGCCTGTGCAAGGGCAACGGCAGTTTCCGCTACTGCTGCCTCCGACGTCGGATACTGCGTGAGGATTCGTGGAAACAGACTTGCAAGGATGGCTGCTTCTGGTATCAAAAGATGCGGTGCATGACGAGGCAAAGCTTTCAGCAGCGGTTGGACCAGCTCAGCATTCGAGACAGGAGCAGCCTCAGCTGCTTCCACTGCGACCCGTAGCCACTGTACTTGTTGCTCGGCTGACCATACAGGCTGCATGGATCCTGAAGAAGCAGCCACCAGCTCTGCAGCCAAGCAGGAGTCAGTCTCAGTCCTTTGATGTGTCAGAAGCAGTGCAGATGCCAGAATCTGCGGGCTTGGTAACTGTGAGGGCTGTCCCTTTTGGCTTACCGCCAGACACACGTAGCTGGCGTCGCCGGTTTGGATGAAGCGCAGGTGCCGCAGGTCGACGGACCGAAGGGACTCACTCAACGTGGCAGTGATCCTTTCCACGGCATGACGGCCCGATATCGAAGGCCTCTCACGCACCATAAGATGCTCCACATTTTCCAACGGAGCCGGCACTTCCAGCTTTTCCAGAAGCGCCAGGACTTGCCAGGCCCAGGTCGCAGTGGCGCAGGTTTGCTGCAAGGATGGTGAATGAGGTAAAGCTCGATCCAGCAACGCTGCGAGCAGCTCCCCATCCAGGCCTTCCAACGACGACAAGCTTTCCAGCGCGCTCAGAGCCAAACCAGGTGCCAGCTCTGCGCTGTCACGAAGCAGAACCTTGCGGGCTTCCCCCAGCAATAGAGGAAGTGGGTACTGCGCTCGTGCAAAGGACGCAAGAACGTCCGCTGCCAGCACGTGATCCAAATTTCGCTCATCATCTGAAGATGCGAGTACAAGTGCGACCACGTTCAACATTCCATGATGCACGGTATCGATTGACGAATACACATTTGCCAAGCAGGCTAGGTCCTGAACAGTGAAAGAGCCAAGATGTTCCACAGATAGCATGGCAATCTTCCAAAGTAGCCGCAGCTGGCCAGACTGTCGTTCCCCCACGCACCGAGCAATCGCCAACAGCTCTGCGGGGGTCATGGACATGGCGACGAGCTCTGCCCTGCGACAGAGTGCCTGCCACTGCAGCTCGTCTGCCTGCCCATTGCGTGCAGATACGATGGCTGCCACGAGCTCCTGGTGGTTTAGTGTGGCCACCGGCTGGTAACCATCCTCGCAAGACAAAAGCGGGCCTCGAGGTCGTCGAGGATCATCCTTGCTTACGAGCTCTGATCGGCCGGCTGCTGTTCGCCACTTCTCCTCCCAGTCCCATCCCTCGTCCCACTCTGCATCCCAGGCATCCCACCAGCGCCCTGTAGACTCCTCGGCGCCAGAGCTCACCTCGACGAGTGCATCTTTCACCTCCTGTGCGTGATGCACCTCCTTGCGGTGCCTGGTAGACCGTCGCGGTGGGGTCAAGTCTGACACCGTCTCTTGCCCTCCTAGTGTTTATTCGACTCCGAGAAGCTTGACTAAATTGCAGGCCGTGGCTCCAGCGAAGTGCTTCACGTGCATCTTGGGCATCCTTCCGCCACAAACAAATGCGAGGAAGTCGGGTAAGGACAGGCAATCTTCGACTCCCTGTGCCCTGAAAAGCCCGCTGAAGCTGCTCAGGTCCTTCGTGAAGTCAGCTTGCGCGAATGCTCGGAGCTGACGAAAGTTCTTGCTCTGCTTCTCGTCATCCTTTTCATGTAAAGCACACAGGCTCGAAGCAGGGAGGTTGTCTTGACATGGGAGGCACATTTGGTCTTGGGCAATCGGCGGAAAAGTGCTGCATCGACGTAGCAAAAGTGCTGCATCAACGTAACAAAATACAAACTCGCCTCGGGGGTCCTTTAGCTTGTAGATTCAGTGATTGCTCAACATGACACCAGAGGTGATTAGTAGAACCAGGCGATTTCGTAGCTGGACCAATACAAGCTAATGCTATGCCGCTATGCTCCCGTTGCTTCCCCAGCGGAACATCATGATGGTAGGAATTCTGACATCTTGCTTCTGGCTTGGAGTTTCTGGTCTTGCCTCCTCGCCCCAAACATCTGCACCCCGGTTTGCTCGCCGCCGGTTGCGCCGAGGCCGCTCGGGCGTTGAGCCTGTAGGTATGTGTGTCTCGGGCAACTGAGTCTCGCTGGAGGCTCAATTTTCTGGGGCTAAGTTCGGAAGCTTTCAAAAAACGGAGGACATGTGAAAACTGCATGTCTTGTCTGGTACGGGTTGGGATTGCGAGCACCTCAGGAGCACATCCGAAGCAGAACCCAGCCACCCCCGAAAGCTGAGACTTTCCTTTACGACCGAGAGTCCTGCAAACGAACGCAGAATCTGCTTGTGCCCGAGACAGGGCTCGCGGCCAAGGGTTGATCGAAGCAACGGCCAAGTACGCATCGATTCTCACTTTGCACGGCCACCGAAACGCAAGAGTGCCATGCATGCCACGGCCGACTGATGTCATGCTCTTCAACTGGAAGTGACATATGTCATCAATGTCTCGACCTAAACCTACCATGTGGTATTTTGTTTCTAGCGAAATCAGTCTCTTAGTCTTCAACAGTGTGCGAGAGAGTTCTAGCAGTCGCTTACTGTCAGGAGGAAACTAGTGTTCCTGAGGCGTCGTCGGTCCAATTTCGATTGTCTGCCGTGCATTTGCACTCTGAGCTATCCACAGCGAACACGTAGAGAAGCAGCGCTTGCGCTGCAGTTGAACAGGATGGAGCTACTTAGACTCAGGCCTGCAATCTGCAAGTCAGATTTGGGATTGGAACGCCCGGGAAGAAAACTGCTTCATCTCTGCTCACATCCTGATCGCATCTTCTGTTTTTTCACTCAAGGCGTTGAAATTCGGAAGCCCGTGTCCGCAATGTTGAAGGTGGTTTTGCCGTCAGTCACGCGGAGGTAGTACTCCTTGTCCTGGAAGCGGTCTGCACACAAGAGAGCTTCCACCAAAAATCTAAGGTTAACTTGCAGCGTCCTGCTTGCGCGACCATATCCGGATCCAACCTTGTAATTGTGCACAAGGACAGGTGGCAGGCTGTTATGATAGAGAACAACGAAAACATCCGCCGAGCAGTACACCACTGAGCAGCTCCAGACATTAGGCCATATGACAACATGTGACAACTGCCTGCAGTTGCTGGCCTCGCGGAAGCGGCGGATGGCCCCAAAATACCCGCTCCTCTCGACAGCTCAGTGCAGCCTAATGAGCTGTGACGACCCACAGCTTGAACGACGGAAAGACAGAAGAACAGGCACACACACACACAACAAGGAACAAGGTAGCGTCTCGGCCAGCGACGCGTTTAGCGCTTCAGGATTCGGCAGGTTCTATAAAGTACAGCACCGTACGAGTAGCGAGACTTGCTCGGCATTCGGGGAGTGTTGTAAACAAGATTCGATCCAACACGTAACTACTCCCCGGCAGTTGCCCTCCAACAACCAAGCACCGGTCGGAACGCACGAGTTGCGATTCACCCTTGCCTGCCGCAGAAACATCCATGCTCTGACGCATCAGAAGCGCTGTGCCTGCCGACTACACGGTGGTTCTAAAAACCCGAAGACATCCGTGTTCAGAGGAAGCTGTTACAGGAAATAATGCGAATTTGGTGCAAATCGCGTCCGACACCACGGCACTACCACAACTACAACGGCAACTCACAGCAAGAACACAAACGACGGCAACAACAGCATGTCACACAGACGCAGTGGACTACAGCAGTTCAGGGTCTGCCCTGCGGCTGGCAACTCTGTCCTGCAAGGATTGCCAAGTTTGGTTGTCCTGCCAGGCGGGTGTTTTTGCATCCAAGATGGGCTGTAAGAATGCAGAAATCGTAGGAGTGGCAAAGGATTAGCATCTTTTGCAAGATTGCAAGAACACAAACTGCAGTCAAATTGCGTGCGAGCTGGCAGTTGAAGCAAATTGTATTAAGACAATCCCTGAGGCGCTCTTTGTGAAAGGCCTCTCTCTTGCCAAAATCACTGAAACCCGGAGGTGCACTTTGGTCAATCGAACATTGAGAGGTGTCCTTGGGCCAGGGCAGTGCTCGCAGCTCATGGAGCGGGTTGCTCCTGGTGGTGGGGCCTCCGCTCGAGGCCGTCAACTTGCTCTTTTTGAAGTTTGCGCGCCACTCGCGAACGGCAAAAGGCTCATTTTCTCGCGGCTTTGCGGTCATCGACTATGCAAGCCGAAGCTGGCGCATCATCATGCTTTCTGCCAGCCGGTCAGCACGTCTCGTGCTCTTCTCAGAACGGCAGCTCAAAGCTGGACTTGCCTTGACAACAAGGTGATGCGCAGCGAGTAGTAGACATTAGTAGACTTGAGCGCTTCTGCGTTAGAAAAAGCCTCCTCCGAGCTACGTTGCATCGGGCTATGGCATCATCATACGCTCAGGACAAGACTGACCCTTCCCAAGCTCACATTGGTCTACTGTCAAAAGTCTGCAGAGGGGGTGACATCCCTTCATACCTGAAGGGTCTGAAATGGTCTGCGGTCACGCTTGTGCGGCTTGGCAGCCCTTTGAGTTTGTCTGCGCGGCAGCCATGGTTGAACTGCAATTGCGCATTGTGGTGTGGAGAAGCCCGAGGAGCAAGGTCAGCTGCATCAGCATGCGGAAGACACCTTGTCATGGCTGACAGGAAAAATACAAGAGAGACGAAGCTCCTTTCAATTTCTCAGGCAGCCCAGGAGCTTCCACTTGCCTTCGGTGTCTCCTGAACCACAAGCAGCTCTTGATCCGACCAGGAGAGCTCCAGGACGTCCTCCACAATCACCTCATATCCCGCTGCCCCTCTTGCAGATGCTCGATGCTGGACGGTATTAGAGTTAGGGTCGGAGCTAGTTGTAGCATGCCGTCTCAGGGCCGCGCTTGCGAGGTCAGATGCTCTTCTGCAAGCTGAGCCCTTTCCGTTCTGTTCACGGTCGCCTTCTCCTTTTCCCAGTAAGTTGGGGTCAAGACCGAGGCATCCTCTGCGATCTGCGGGTAGGGGCACTCGTGCGGGAAGACGTAATGCATCCACTGGGCGAAGAGC